GCGTGCACCACCATGCCTGGCTAATTTTTAAATTTTTAGTAGAGACGGCATTTCACCATGTTGACCAGGCTGGTCTTGAACTCCTGACTTCAAGTGATATACCTGCCTCAACTTCCCAAAGTGCTGCGATTACAGGTGTGAACCACCATGCCTGGCCAGGATTTCATAACTTTTGAGTTTATCTGGGGATTTCATAGGTGGATAAAATGGTACCTCTGTTACTCACTGGGAACCTCAAATTCGGTCTGCTTCATCAGGGAAGACAATGATTGACATTCACCCTGTGTTATGAGCTGATTTGCATCCCCCTAAATTCCTATGTTGAAGTCCTAACCCCCAAGTACATCAGAATGTAACTGTATTTGGAGAAAGTCTTTAAAGGTGTAATTAAGTTAAAATGAGGTCTTTAGGGTGGGCCCTGATCCAATATGGCTGGTGTCCTTACAGAAAGAGGTGATTAGGACACAGGCATACACAGAGAAAAGACCCCGTGAACACACAGCCATCTGCAGGCGGAGGTTGCAGTGAGCCGAGATCGTGCCACTGCACTCCAGCCTGGCAACAGAGCAAAACTCCATCTCAAAAAAAAAAAAAAAAAAAGAAAGAAAAAAAAATATGTTCCTATATCTAACGGTATTTCTGTATTTCTGTATTAAAGATTTATCCAAGTAAAACCTAGGTTGCCTTCAGTTCCTATTTCATCTCATTCTCCACAGAAGTGAGGAACTGTCCTTTCCACTGTCTGTAGGACATTTCTTTGAATCTAGCACAGAAGTATAAGAACATAAACTGCTGTGGGTTAAGCCACCTAGTCTGTGCTACTTTGCTATGGCAGCCTGAGCAAACCAGTGCACCCTTCAGCACCCTGAAATGTAATTATGTAATTGTAATTTAAAATGTAATTTTAATTTAATTTAAAATATTAAAATACTTCCTGAGTCATCTGCAAAGGTCAGTCAAAACAGAGACTCAGCTTTGCTTGCACCAGCATTTTCAGGAAAGCAGCTACGTGGTCAAGAATACGTGACTTGGAAGTACCTTTTCCCAGATGTTGAGTTTTCTTTCCAACAAATGAATTCTAATCTGTGAGAGCGAAAAGCTTGTTGATTTAGACTAATCCTCATGGTGTTACAGTTGTGAATGATGCATTGATATTTGATGCTTGCACATTTAAAAGGCTGACACTCTGACAGCTTGTTCTCCTAAGAGGACCAAGTGTATGCAGAAATGTCAAGAAGATATTCAACTTGGATGAGAATCAAGCTGTGTATTTCCTTATGTTTTTCTGTAGAGGTGGCCTGAGCCAGCGGTTAGGCAGGACTAAAATCCAGGAAGGAAATTTCTGCCACTGTGTGAATTTGGGCGACTAGCTGCATCTTGGATACCAAATGAGACAAGGAGCAGCATTTTCAGGCTTGACACAGAACACGAACATCAGCCTTCTGCCTTCTGTTCTCCACAGACCAGCTCTGTGTCCACATGAGGACTCATGACCCAACATCCTCGTCAATACAGTAGGACTTACAGACTGCTGTGAGGATTAAGTAGAATCATACATGCAAGAACTATGTAAACAATGTAAAATAAATTATAAAAACTACACGAATGTAAGTTATCATTAATATTGTTGAATTAGATGGAAGATTACTGGACCAGTAATCGAGATTTCAAATTCTATGACCAATGTCCCTTTCTACATGTATGTTATGCTTGCATTAAACATTGATTTAAAAAAAGATTCCTAATTCTGTCTCTGCTATAAATTAGTCTGGGCCCACTTACTTCTTGGGGCCTTAGTTTCCTCATCTGTAAAACAAAGGTGAACTGTATTATCTTATGTTAGTTGGAACATGCTAAAATTCTATGACCTATTTCTTATTACTCCATGTCTTGATAATACATAACATATTTTTTAAATGGGTATTTTGATATATAGATAGGGACACATCTCTTTGATGTGAAATGCCTAAGGTACCAAAGAACAAAAAGGGGTTTTGAGGTTCCTGGCTCTTTTGTGACTAGATTATACAGGGAATCCCAAATGATTTATCGGGTTTTATGAGGGAACCTTTGGCTGGGAGACACTCTAGAAGATAAAAGTATTCTGTAAATTTCAGGTATAAAAGAAATACAGGGCTCCAAGTACAGCTTCCCCCTTGTGTGATTCCCCCAATGTGAATCACATTGATTCCCCCAATGTGATTCTTACGAAAATTCAGAACACAGTTTTGTCGACCCTAAAGCCAGGCTTGAATCTGGACTCTGCCTATAATTCTGCTAGCTACGAGATCGTGGGCAATTTCTTTCCCTCTCTATGTCTCAGCCTCTTAAACAGGCATGAGAAGTGCACAGTGCCTGTCTGCCACATCTCATCATCATCATCATCATCACCATCAGGGCTCAGTATATCAATCAAATCTCTGCTCTGCTCTATTCTTTGGTTTATATTATCAATGACTAGGGGCATGTTTAACGTATTTGTTAGTGCCCAGCATAATACTGTGCACACAAAGGCATTTACAGGACCATTTTGAGGATGAATGCAGGATTCAAAGAAATGTCCTACAGACAGTGGAAAGGACAGTTCCTCACTTCTATGGAGAATGAGATGAAATAGGAACTGAAGGCAACCTAGGTTTTACTTGGATAAATCTTTAATACAGAAATACTGTTAGATATGGGAACATATTTTCTTTTTCTTTCTTTCTTTTTTTTTTTTGAAACGGAGTTTTGCTCTGTTGCCAGGCTGGAGTGCAGTGGCACGATCTCGGCTCACTGCAACCTCCGCCTCCCAGGTTCAAGCAGTTCTCCTGCCTCAGCCTCCTGAGTAGCTGGGACTACAGACGCACACCACCAGGCCCAGCTAATTTTTGTATTTTTAGTAGAGATGGGGTTCACCATGTTGGCCAGGATGGCCTTTATCTCTTGACCTTGTGATCCACCCACCTTGGCTTCCCAAACAAAGTGCTGGGGTTACAGGTGTGAGACACCATGACTGGACTTTTTTTTTTTTTTGGAGATGGTGTCTCTCTCTGTCGCCCAAGCTGGAGTGTAGTGGCATGATCTTGGCTCACTGTAACCTCCACCTCCCGGGTTCAAGTGATTCTCCTGCCTCAGCCTCCCAAGTAGCTGGGATTACAGGCGTGTGCCACTACACCCAGCTGATTTTTTTATTTTTAGTAGACATGTGGTTTCACCATGTTGGCCCCTATTTTCTTATTCTGTTGTTTGTAATAGATATTTAAAATATTACATACAAACAAGCAACTTTATTCTACCTACAGTATTGAAAACCTGAAAAATATAGAAAACAATGAAGAAGGAAAATCACACCCATATTATAATGCCTACAGATGAACAGTTTTGATGGGAGCCTCACCATGTACTGCTAGAAGTCTCATTCCACCCTAAGCCAAGAACATCGGATGTTCCTTCCCTCCCTCCATCAGTACAACTCTTACCTCACAGAATTTTAAGAAAGAATTACAGGTGACCACGTGACATCTGGCTAAGTCCCTTAAATCAAACTGCGGTTATCACATCTGTAGAATGAGATACTTCCACATCACCATTGTTGGAAAGAGATCATGTAGCCTGCATGTCTTTAATGCCTTATAAACATACTTCAAGGATTATTCAGGCTATAACTGCAACATATCATAAATTCTTAATTTGTCCTGATGGCAATAACATCTTGTTTTTTTTTTTTTTTTTTTTTTGAGACAGAGTTTCGCTCTTATTGTCCAGGCTGGAGTGCAGTGGTGTGATCTTGGCTCACCACAACCTCCGCCTTCCGGGTTCAAACGATTTTTCTGCCTCAGCCTCCTGAGTAGCTGGGGTTACAGGCATTCGCTACCACTCCTGGCTAATTTTTGTATTTTTAGTAGAGACGGGATTTCTCCATGTTGGTCAGGCTGGTCTCAAACTCCCGACCTCAGGTGATCTGCCTGCCTCGGCCTCCCAAAGTGCTGGGATTACAGGCATGAACCACCACACCCGGCCTGGCAATTGCATTTTATAGAAGGTAGAGGAAGCGTATGGGCTATATGGGCCTAATTCTAAACAATGAAGAATGAGGGGGAAACCCAGGGCAACAGTGAGAGTATTATGTAGGAATTTTCTTTACAAATAATAAAACAGAAACTTGGCCGGGCGCGGTGGCTCAAGCCTGTAATCCCAGCACTTTGGGAAGCCGAGGCGAGCAGATCACAAGGTCAGGAGATCGAGACCATCCTGGCTAACACGGTGAAATCCCGTCTCTACTAAAAAATATAAAAAATTAGCCCAGAGGTGGTTGGCGGCGCCTGTAGTCCCAGCTACTCGAGAGGCTGAGCGAGGAGAAATTGGTGTGGAAACCCAGGGAGGCGGAGCTTGCAGTGAGCCGAGGATCGTGGCACTGCACTCCAGCGGGTTGACAGAGCGGAGACCAAGGCCTCAAAAAAAAAAAAAAAAAAAAAATATATACTATATATATATATATATATAAAACAGAAACTAGAAACCAAAAGCAATCTAGGTAGCTCTAAGTAGAACATTTTCTAGGTAGATCATTCTACAACAATAAACAATAGCCCACACCTTTTGCTCAAACTCTTAAATCTCCTGTATGTACCTCAACAGCATTTGCCTATCAGTAAGAATGAAATGCAGTGGGTCTGCAGAACATAAGTACTATGTGTCTATGCCTTTTTCTATGAGAATCTGAACCCGTAGAGTCTACATGTGTAAAAAGTCTGGTCTAACACCTTTCTGCTTGGGCACACGGCACGCACACGTATGTGCACACACTTGACCCCCCAACCCCTACCCGCTTCTGCCGACTCTTTGCAGACCTGACTTCAACCCGGGACGTGCCATTAAGGCCCAGTCGTGAAGCTTTGTCTCTGCAGGCTTATAATTGAAAAGGGTACACAGTGCTTGTTACCATACCCACGGTGCCAAATTGTGCGGAAGGAGCTGCTGAGACAAACTTTAATTACAACTCCCTGGAGCACGCTCACCTGTTTTGCTGTTTCAGTGAGGGCCGCGGCTTCTGCCTTGCCCAGTTGTTGCACCATCTTGTAAAATAGGCTCTCTTTATTTTGTAGCAAAACATATGGCTCATCATATTCTTTCAGTCTTCCTGAATCTAAAACCTGTTAATCAGCAGAAAGAAACCCATTGAAACACGATGTTTTGCAGTAACATATTATAACAGAGACAATATTTCCGAAAGGGGCAGGAGAGGGAGAGAATCTGTTTGGGTGGTAGGCCTGGATGGTGTTTAAATGGTTTGATTACCCTGTTTTACCAAGCAAAGAAAGGCCTAACCTGACCTTTTATTACTATAATGTTATAGGAAAGGAAGAAAATGAAAGTTCTAGACTATTATTCTGGGCACTCAGCAGTCCTGTGGCATTTTATATTCTGCCAAAGGCATTTTGGGTTCTTATCATTACTTAGTGCTTTTAACTCTCAGACTCTCAGCATTGAAGGGTATTTATACATATGATCAGAGTGGGGAAACTTCTTGATTTAAGAAAGTCAAATTCAGTTTATCTAAAAGGTAGGGTAATGTCATAAAAAACAGACGGGAAAGACCCGACAGTGAATTAATTGCTGAGCCAGTTTCATAGACTCTAAGCAATATTTGGAAAAGAAGTAAATGCTTCTGGAATTTCTTTAAGGTTCTAGAACATGTCAGCTGCTAAGAGGGGCTAAACTCTGGATGGTGAGGTTAAGGTGCATTCTGAAATCGGCTCTGGGTGTACTTTATTATTCCGAGAGAGAAAGGCTGGCCAAAAAAGCTGTTACCTAAGCAGCTTTAGCATAATTGCTCTCTGCACAGAAGAAATCTCTAGAAATCCACTTTTCTCTTTGGATAAGACTAAAGAAGCGATTAAGAAATTGAGCTCCAAATTCCTGTGATCACAGCCCACATGACACATGAGGCAGCCCAATCTGCATTGCTGAGGGCGGAATATCTGTTTTCCCAATCACCTTTCTTTGCTTCTTTCTCTTTCTTTAGCTGCTTGCCTTTTAGCTGCTTTATTGCTCATTAATATGTCCACTGGAAATTGAAAGAGGGAGGAAGGGGCTCTTAACTCTGCATTTCTACTTATTAGTGGCTTTGGTTAATGGTTTCAGAGGGAAGAAAGAGTCTGAACAATTGGCCCAAATGATGTACCTAAGAAAACAGTTCTGATGTTAAGTGGCACTTAGTTCTTCATTTAGGCCACATTTAGAGTAAATTTATCTTAAGAGAATATGCTGAACCTCCAAGCAGGACACAGGATGTTTTTCTACATGTAGACATTGCAGTTAATTCCGTCCCATGGTATTTAATCGGACACATTTATTAAGCCTCATAAAGGGCATTTTCCTGTTAATCTTTTGTTTACTACTGTGAATCACTGCTAAGGGCAGCTTTCTCAAAAGAGTTTGAGAATAATTGAATCTGTCACATACACATAATAATTAAAATGTCCTATAATTTGGCATGCCAATTTAGATACCCCAAATGTGTAATTTTCCTTAAGTATAGCATTACAGAGCATAACCACTCCTCCTGATGATGAAGGAAAAAATCTGCAATTTAAAAATACAGGTCTCTCTAACACTAAAGACTAAATAGATAAGTGAATCAAATTACTTTCTAAAATGAGGTTTTAGTCTGCAAAAGCAACAAGTAAACTTTTAAAAATTATTCCCACAGAGTTGATAGCGAGTGAGTTCTCTGTAAAGACTCTACATAATGTTTAATGGAAAGAAAGTCCTACTACTATTTGGTCCTTGTCCAAATTCCTACTAAATTTATCCACATTTGAGTGACTAGTAAATCTTTCCAGATTCCCTCTCATTGTCTGAAAACACATGAATGCCACTGAGACCAGGAGTTCTCAAAACTGACCAGAATCTAAAAAGGCAGAGCCAGGAAAAAGCATTATTATTATTAGATTAATAATAAAAATGACAAAGATCATTTTGGTCAAAATACTTTAAGCCTTATAAATATCAACAACTTAGCAATGGCATTTTATTTGTTAGGAGAGTTTTTGAGTTTGGGGGTGATAGAACCACGAACTTAATAATTTATTAGAACTTAAAATTTTAACTTCTATAAGGTTTCACACTTAAAAAATATAACCGACCTCTTTAATACTTTTTTGATATTCATTAAAACAAAATATAGGCCAGGTGCAGTGGCTCCCACCTATAATCTGAGCACTTTGGGAGGCCAAGGCAGGCAGATCACTTGAGGCCAGGAGTTCAAAACCATCTTTACTAAAAATACAAAAATTAGCTGGGCATGGTGATGTGCAACTGTAGTCCCAGCTACTCAGGAGGCTGAAGCATGAGAATCACTTGAACCCAGGAGGTGGAGGATGCAGTGAGCTGAGATGTGCTACTGCACTCCAGCCTGGGCGACAGAGTGAGGCTCTGTCTCAAAAAAGAAAAAAAAGAAAAAGAAAAAGAAAAAAAACCCAAAAAAACCCAAAATAATCCCCAAAATGTAGTATCTTATAATGAACTGGATTATCATAGCTACAGATGAATTCGCAAGATTTGAGACATGGCATCTTTGGCATATAAATATGACCTAACAAAGAGTATGGCTACCATAAAAATCAATGAAAGCACCCCATAACTAAAATATCAGTTTGTGAACTGGAAAAGAAAAATAAAATGGGTTGAACATGCTCTGCTTTTACAATCATCACTGCAAACTCCCAAAAAAGAATGGATAAGGTAATTTCTTTCCTTCCATCCATTCATGCAATATTGAGTGAATGTCTATTTCCAAAGTACTGTTTTAGGAATGGGTGATTTAAAGATGAGCAAGAAACAGTCTATCAAGATGCTGACAGCCAGAGATATAGATGGAAGTGCAAATAAGTTAAACAACTTAGCCTAGGCCGCACAAATTAGGAGATGGCAGAGCTGGAATTTGAACCCAGGTGTAAACCTGTCTTCTTCCCTCTTCATGTGAGTTCCCAGAGGTACATTTTTATTTACTTTCAGTTTCTTTGTTTTCAGAAGTAAAATATAGGCGATGAGAACTGTAAACAGTCAATTTTTAAAGACACCTTTTTATTTGGATAATAACTTTGCATATTTTAAGAAAAATATGCCTGCAAGCATAAAAAATTCACCTATTCACTTTCCACTGCAATTGGAGTCCTATTACACCCAGGACTCAGTTTTTTACTGTGTGCCTGGCATATGCTCACAGAAAAAGAAGATAATTTTTTTTTTTGGAAATAGAGTCTCACTCTGTCACCCAGGCTGGAGTACAGTGGTGCGATCTCAGTTCACTGCAACCTTCACCTCCTGGGCTCAAGCGATTCTCCAGCCTTAGCCTCCCAAGTAGCTGGGACTACAGGTGCACGCCATCAAAGCCCGGCTAATTTTCGTTTTTTGTAGAGGCAGGGTTTCGCCATGTTGCCCATGCTGGTTTTAAACTCCCGAGCTCAAAGCGATCCTCCCAGCTTGGCTTCCCAAAGTGCTGGGATTACACGTGTGAGCCACCACATGTGGCCCAAGAAAACAAACTTCATTAAAGTTTCAGGATTAATAATGAGCAAGTGACACTCGGCCAGAACACATTGGAGGAAAATGAACTTTCATGAATTGCTGAATTTATTCAGCACACATTTATTGCACACTTTCTGCATTCATGTCATTGTGCTAGATGCTGTGGAAGAGGCAGAAATGGGTAAGTCCCAGCCCCTGCTTTTAGGAAGGCTACACTCAAAAAAAAATAAAAAATAAAAAATAAAGACAGAAGAAAACACTCAAGTGACTAGAATAGCAGAAAAAAGGCAAAACAAGCGGGAGTTCAGCAGCAGCAGAAGCCACCACTGGCCAAAATTTCTGAGGAGGAGCTTCAGGGAGGAGAAGATAGCAAAATGGCCCTTGAGGAATGGACACACTTGGACACACAGAAATGGTGGTGGAGGTGAGGGATGGGAGGACAGTGGTCATTCCAGTCACCAAGAGGTCTGACAGCCCACTGATCACTTCCTCAAGGGCAGGGTTATGTGACTGCTCTGGTTCACCGTTGCATCTCCAAGGCCTGGCATTGCACATGATGTGTGAGCAGGCACCCCATGCACACTGGCTAAAAGTTAAATACAAACGAAGTGAAATTCGGGGCACGATTGAGTGACTGACCAGTGGTGCAGTCTGGTAAGACCACAGAGTGAGGTCCAGCAGAGAAAGAGTCTAGCTGGCCCTGGGAAACAGATAAGGAAGGAGGTATAAGGATGCCAGGATTCAGGCTATAGCCTTGGAGGACCACATGCCTCAAGTTGATGGCTATAGAGAAGTGAGAGAAAAGCGAAAAGGAGACACAGCAGGAATGAGGGCTAAGGCTTGACTCCAGATTAAATATTGGAAAAGAGAAAATAAGGAACAATCAAATGCTACAAGGGCCAAGTTAGGATGCACATGGAAAACAATGCTAAGAATAGAACTTTACCCGCTTAGCCTTTATACATGTTGAGTATACTTACGAAATGCCTGGGACCAGAAGTGTTTCAGACTTCAGATACTTTTGAATTTTGCAATGTTTGCATTATACATACTTACAGATCCAGCATACTTATCCGAAAATCCAAAATCTGAAATGCCCCAATGAGGGTCTCCTACAGGCTTCACATCAGAGCTCAAAAAGTTTCAGATTTAGGAGCATTTCAGATTTCAGATTAGGGAACTCAATCTGTATTTACCGATTTGACCAAAGATTCTGGAGCTTTTACAACAAAATAAAGTGACTCTGAATTTTCTTTTTGTACAGAAAAAGGGGTATAATCTTGAATTTGTATCTTCATATCTTTTGTACCTATATGAAAACAGTCCTGAACTCTCCTGCTGAGTCCTCACCTTTCCTCTACCCAAGTAAAACTATAAACTAAGCCACACATTGATGTCGGTCCTGCCGCCCCAGGATCTCTCCAGCAATGCAAACCTCAAATCACCTGCTACTCTCCAGAAGGTCAAGGAAAAACACATTATACTGGAATGCATTAGTCAGTTCCTCAGTTACATAAGCTCAACGAAGATGTGTTTATCAGGCCTGCATATCTGCAGATATTCCAGGTAGCTGTCCTAGATATAAAAATTAAGTGAACCAACTGCAAAACAATTTAATCCATTTAATTGGCAGGACGCCATCGCTGATAGTGGGGTGACCTCAGGAACAGGGGAGGGGCAGGACAGGGTGAAGGATAAAAAAGCCTGACCATAGGAAAAGAAAAGCTCGGAACAGCTTTCACTATGGCAGCAAGCAATACAGAGAAACCCCATTTAGCAACAGGCAGAGTGAGGTTGGGAGGGTTTCCATTTCAGAGGTCAGTTCTGGGCTGCCATGATGAAAGGGGTGTATGGAGAGTCATCTGATGTTAGAAATTGGTTCCTTCACGCATAAAATGGGTGCCTGTGACTCTTCTCTGGGACAAGGTACTATGGCATGTGGCAAAGATTCCTCGAAATCCTGTCCCAGGTCTTAAAACAGTAAATGATTCTTCTCACCTGGGGAAAATGAAGGGTAGGTCCCAGTGACCCACTCAGCCACTTCCCCAAAGCTCTATAATTGTGTGTATTTATTCTCCTAGTACTTTTTTTTTTTCTTTTTTTGTGAGATGGATCTCACTCTGTTGCCCAGGCTGGAGTGCAGTGGCGTGATCTTGGCTCACTGCAACCTCCGCCTCCTGTGTTCAAGAGATTCTCCTGCCTCGGCCTCCCGAGTAGCTGGGATTATGGGCACACGGCACCATGCCTGGCTAATTTTTCTGTATTTTTAGTAGAGACGGGGTTTCACCATGGTGGCCAGGCTGGTCTCGAACTTCTGACCTCAGGTGATCTGCCCTCCTCGACCTCCCAAAATGCTGGGATTACAGGCGTGAGCCACCACACCCAGCCCCAGTTTGTGCTTTCTTCCTTCACATTAGTTCTTTGTCCCCCTGAACACTTTAATTAAATGTCTCAGCATAGTTTTTAAGAAGTAATTTTTCCTCTTCTGAAATGTTCTAATTGTGGCCGTTGTCGGTTTCTTAAAGAGAAGTTCCATGAAGATGAAACATAGAATTTAAATAAAACTCAAGTTAGCTTTGAGTTGTGTTTCTCCAGCTGGTTCTGTTAGAACGATTTCTCATTTGTTTTCTCTGAGAAAACTCTACTAAAAAGAGATTTGGGTTTAGAAAGAAAGACATACATTATACACCCATAAGACTGCCTACAAAGAAAAGAGCTACAATCTGAATTTCTCAGTCCTGGTTTTGGTTCTCTGTAATTCACTCCCAAAGAATTCTCTAACTGCAGATTCGCTTATTCCTTGTTCACTCACGCTACCAGGCAGAATCCAGAGTGCTATAAGGACAGGTGTGCAGGGACTGGAGGAAAAGGCTGTGCTATTGGCTGAAAGGAAAACAGGTCACAAGTAACCAGCTAATCCTAAAAACTACAGGGAGGAAGCTGTCTTTAATGTGGAGATAGTGGTGCGTACTAGAAAAAAGAGGATTTCTAATTTGTCCGTCTTGCTCTACTGTTTTGTGGCAACTGAGCAAATGAAGATTAAATTAGCTGTCATTAAGACTACACCATGTTTAATAAAGTTAAAATTGAGAGAACATCTTCATAAAATAAAATTCTAAGCTTAACTCATTAATGGCACTTAATGAACCAAAACTGGGTAAATCCCTTTGGAGAGTCAACACATAAACAAAGCTATTAATTAGGTCACAGTTGTTTCCCAACAAGCCTTTTGTTTGATTTACTTACAGTAAACGAAACCATATCCATCCGTCTTTGTGGAGAAGTATTCACCAATGCAACAAAATGTAATTATTTACACCTTAAGCACGTGCAATTCCATGACTGCACGATGACAATAGTGTTGGTTATGTCCTTCATTAACATCTGTCACTTCCCCAGCCACTCCCTGAGCCTGCCCTCTGGAGCATTGAGCTTTGCAGCTGATTCACTTGTCTCTATGTTTTCACAGCTTTCAGAATAACAGAACAGAACACATGTTTTCTGTAAACATATCTCTAAAACAAGCAAGGGGGGGGAAAAAAACACCTCCAAAATCAAAGATCTGAGAAAGAACAGTATTTATGGTGTTCCCCTGAATTGAAAGGTGGCTGATGATCAGAAGCTCTAGAATATGGGAGAAGCTTTCAGCTAGGGGTCAAGGGAACATAGAGGCCAGTTCCCAATCTCAAACTACAGAATGCATGTCTCCTGGGTTCCCTGAGGCTGAATTCTGCCATTGCCTGTTAAGAAAAATTGGAAAATAGTTCTCACGAAGAATTCAGAGCTTGTAATAAGACTCCTTACTTAAATTTACACCTCCTAGTAGGACTTCCTGTGATGTCACTGATGACCTCATGGCCAGGAAGCCCTAAATGGAAGATCTCCCAATATCACTGGAGAGATCGCCATAGATGGAGACACTAATGGAGTTGGGAGTGAGAAGGCAAGTTCCATGCTGAAATGTAAGGTCATCTCAACAGTTACATCCTCCAAGGGAACGCTCGCCTTTCCCTTCTCCAAATTTATTTCTTCCAGGTCTTCCCCATTCATCCAGATAGTCAGGTCCCAAACAGAGAAACCAGGACTGACTCCCCCTGTCTTCCCTCAAATCTCACATTCAATCCATCACAGTCCAGTTGCTTTACTTTGCTATTTACTCCAAATCCATCCATTGCACCATCTTCACTGCTCACACCATAGTCTAAGCCGCCATTGTGCATAGTGTAGAGAGGGCAAGACCACAACAGTGAATGCTGCGTTTGATGAACTGAAGGACAATAACTAAAGGACTGTGGCTTTTACTACAAAGGAAAGAGAGAGAACAGAGTGAGGAAAGGCTAAAAGGTAGGGAGGGGCCAACTGTAAATTGCTTTGTAGAACCATGTTGAGAGTTTAGATAAAGACATTAATCCAGAGAGAAAAAAATTAAGGCTCTCAGAAGCTACCTGGAGGGATTGGTATATAAAGCAATAAACTAATGGGCACATTTCAATAATGGTAACAGTGCTGATAGATCAAGGGGATGCTTGTGAACTAGGCATTTATGTGGTCTGATGCTGACTGATCAGATTTAGGAGTGACCAACTGACTTGTCTGCCAAGTTCTGTCCTTGCTTGCTGTCTCCCTAACTAATCAGACCTTCTAAGTTGACAGCACTTCCAAGCATTAGATAATAAAAGGAGTAGCTATCATCAATGCTGTAACAGCAAATCCCAACAAGAAGTCTATATGATACATTTAGGCTACAGGCGCCCACCACCACGTCCAGCTAATTTTTGTATTATTAGTAGAGACAGGGTTTCACCATGTTGGCCAGGCTGGTCTCGAACTCCTGACCTCAAGTGATCTGCCCACCTTGGCCTCCCAAAGTGCTGAGATTACAGGTGTGAGCCACTGTGCCTGGCCTTGCTTCCTAAAATTATCACTGTTTCCCTTCATTTTCTAGGCCCTCCAATTCCTATGTAACAAATTTCCTGTTAAATCCTTTCTGTTGGATTCATTTGTTTTTCTGGCTAGGCCCTCTATGAAAATAATTTGTGATAGATCTTCTCATCTCTTCCCCTGTGACACATATCTTGTGAACGTCCCAACAGCTGAGAAGTTCTGCAACCTTACCCAACGAGCCCCTTGCAGTATATAAAAACCTAAGTCTGTCATTAAGGGGATCAAGCATGCTGAAACAACTGTGACAGTGACGATGACTGTGATCTTCTATTTGATACTACTCTGTAGTACGACAGTTAGCATCACAAGCTGAATCTTAGATTTGGAATATTTTCATGGTAAACTTTTAACATAGGATTTTTGCATATGAGTATATGTTAAGAGATACATTGGATATATTGTTAGTGGCACTGACGGTGTAGTTAAGCATATGAATTACTGTTGGGAATGAGAGCCAAAATTAACAGAAAATTAACTTACTAGGGGTTTCTATCAAGTTTTACAAGGAAGGAACAAACTGAAAAAGTGAACATAATTGGAAGCAACTGGAATTCCGCAGGTGAAGGACTTACCATTATCCTGTCGCTGTCAATAATGGTGTTCAATCTGTGTGCAATGGTTAGCACGGTGCAGTGGGCAAATTTCTCCCGGATTTTCTTTTGTATTAACTCATCAGTTCTGCAATCAAAGAAGTTAAGTTTAATTCCGTAAAGATGGGAAAAGTAGACTTAAGACTTAAAAAGCTCTCCTACACAATAGAGTTTTTTTTTTAAAAAAAGATCACATATATTCAATGTTTTAAAAAGCATGTTAAAATGTTCTAGGACAATCTTATTCTATAAAAAATCTATATAGTAATTTACTAATTTTCATAAAACAATGAAAAATATCTTCCCCCCAAATTGCTTAAAACTGATTATTGGGAGTGGATTTTAGGAATCTAGCTCTCCTGGAATACTGAATAACATCACTGACACTGGAAAACACGTTTGGGTTTCTTCTTCTGTTTTTTCAGAATGAATGTTATCCATGTTAAAATGTTATCTCTGGGGCAAACAGTGTACTTAGAAACATTTCTCAGAATCATTCCGTGTTTCCCATTTACACACTTAAGATGTAGGCTCAAGGTTACATGGACTTCAGCTTTATACCTTGGATCCACATTTGCTGTCGCTTCATCAATAATCAATATCTGATTTTTCCTGAGAATTGCCCTGGCAAGGCATACCAGTTGTCTTTGTCCGACACTAAAATTGGATCCTGATTCTGCTAATTCAGTATCCATTTTACCAGGAAGATCTTCAATGGTTTCTTTAAGTTGTACCTGTAGATGTACAAAGAAGAATGACTGCTATCATTCAAGCTGCTATGGAAGTAGCCAAGCCTCATAGACATTAGAACCTTCAGGTCCCTTCTCTTGAAAGATATAACTTAAGTGGACACGCACATGAGGCTGAGAGTTACCTTTAGTTAATGTTCAATGAGAAAGATGGTAGAGTCAACACAAAACTGAAATATTCTGACTTAAGAGAACAAACAATGGAACCCAAGACGCTCCTTTATCACCATCAGCGAGCACAGTCTGTTCATGCAGGGCCATGTGTTAATACTGCCTGGGCCAATTTCATTAAGAAAAACCTAGCATGATCAATAAAATGATTTTGTAGGTAAAATACAGAAAGATTTAAAAAATCCCTTCTTAACTTTTAGTTAAAAGATTACAGAAATTTAGAGACAAAAAGAGTGATGGGGCCGGGCACGGTGGCTCAAGCCTGTAATCCCAGCACTTTGGGAGGCCGAGACGGGCGGATCACGAGGTCAGGAGATCGAGACCATCCTGGCTAACACAGTGAAACCCCGTCTCTACTAAAAATACAAAAATTAGCCGGGCGTGGTGGCGGGCGCCTGTAGTCCCAGCTACTCCGGAGGCTGAGGCAGGAGAATGGCGGGAACCCGGGAGGCGGAGCTTGCAGTGAGCTGAGATCCGGCCACTGCACTCCAGTCTGGGCGACAGAGCGAGACTCCGTCTCAAAAAAAAAAAAAAAAAAAAAAAAGAGTGATGGTTGCCAAGGGCTGGAGGATTAACTGTAAATGGACACAAGGAAATTTCTTTGGGTAACAGAGACATTTTAAAACTGGATTCCTGCAATGACTGCCCAACTCTATAAATTTACCAAAATCACTGAATCACTTCTAAGGGGAGTATTTTCTGCTATGTAAATTAGACCTTGATAGAGTTGGTAGAAAAAAAAAATCATATCAGTGTCCCCCAGCACCTGAACTCCCTGACCAAAAACCAACATGACAGCCACCAAGAACCCCTCTTCCAGGGAAGGAGGGAAGTTTCTCAAAAAATGAAGCTCATGCTCCCAATGTAGAGTCTGAAGAAAAGGTGAAAGGATCTTTCTGGTTGAGTCAAGTTTCCCAAAGTATATCTTGGAGAGGAGTGAGTATAACTCGAGGGAAAATGTAAAAAGAAAATTACTGCTGGAAGTATGGTCCTCCAAAGATATCATCTTATAGGCACTTTACCATTTTGGAAGGTTTTTTAATCAACTGGAAAAGTTAAAAAAATATAAATGCAAACAATGGAAAACTGTGCCTCATTTGTTAGGAAATCAGGAGTTTATTCTTGGGCTGGTCCTTTCCCAAGTTTAAGCCCCGATTGCCAAACCAGGTCAGTGCATTTTCTTCAGTCTAATAAATGTTTTGCAGTGAATGAAAACTCACGAAAAACAGCACACAATAACATCTTGCCCCAGACATGGGGATAGATGATGTTGATATTAATGTATCTTTATAAAATTATAGCTATAAGATGATCTGATACTACATTGGGTGGTGGTTCAGTTCACTGATGTGTTTTGGAGAAATTTTATAGAACAAGAGCCAAACTCAGGTGACATTTGAGAGCTATAGAGGAAGAAAGAGTCAATACACCTCCAATTAAGAGATCAGCAAGCAGATAGATGAGTGGTGGCCAATAAGCAGGTGTACGGAACTACAATGCCCAAAAACAAAAAGCCAAGAGTAAACGGGCAACACTGCCATGTACCTTAAATATGGAAGCACACTTCTATGAATGTGATCTTGAGTTGTACTCATGATAGAAGTCCAACTCCAAGAAACAGGAATTTTGAGTTAAGATTAAATATGGTATTGATATTTGGCATTACCAAGAAAAGCTGGAAATTAAACAAAATCCGAAGTGTAAGATTTGGCTCGTGGTGCAAAATGTTGCCCTGAAAATTATAGGATGGAATATGTCAGCTTAGTCAAGCCCTCTCCATTACAAGGAAGAGGACTTACTGAGTAGTCTTTTTATGAAACATACTCAGAGACCTATACCCCATGTGATGGAACTGATCAAAAGTAGATGTTGGCAAGTTTTTATTAGCTTTTCCTTCTGAGTTGATTTTGATAATACTGGTAAGTGCAAAAAGGTCTTTCCTAAGACTGGCAGCCAGACTTTGAAGAAATAATCTCACACTTGTCCTTGATTAAGGTGCCATCCCATCATTCTTCTGGGTTTTGACTTTCCTTGAGGTTATCCACATTGACTTGATGAAGAACAGGGTTGTGAGGTGAAGAACAATGAACACATTTCCCAGAAAACAGTGTCCTCTGAGTCTTTGCCATCATGATTGAATCAGGGATGGTTATGAGAACGATATGTGTGGCTGAGTGCCGTGAGTGGCGCGAAGCTTGGCTCACATGCCAACCTCCACCTCCCAAGTTCAAGCGATTCTCTCTGCCTCAGCCCTCCTAATTGGGATAAAAGTGCCCACACCCATGCCCAGCTTAAATTTTTTGTATTATGTAATTGATATGGGGTTTCACCATGTTGGGACAGGCTGGTCTCAACTCCTAACCTCAGGGTGATCTGCCCTGCCCAGCCCTCCCCAAAGTGCTGGGGTTACAGGCAATGAGC